AACGGAGACTGAGCACTTCTGCGGCCAGGATGGGGCTCCGTCATTGTGGTCTGAGCAACAGGACTGGTAGAGACTGCTGGTGATCACCAATGTGGGTGTTCTCTCCCTTCTGGCACATTAGTAGACTATGTCTCCCACCCTCCTCCATCTAGGTGAGGCTCAGGACTAGTTCTCACCTCTGGAATATGAAAAATGAGTATGTGACTTCCAGATTGACACAACTCAACTCTAGACTATAGGACAAGCAAGTAACACTGCCTGGATTGTGCTAAGCCACTGACATTCAGGTTTGTTTGTTACAGCAGTTCGCCTATCCTGACTAATTTTATACGTAAAGAGCTGCTGCACTTTGATAGACATAAATACTATATCACCCAGCACTGCAGACTCAACTTGTATCTAAAGAAGACAAGGGGGTAGGCTGGGAAGCATGTAAGTTATTATTTTAAAGAAGTTATGCAAATGTTATCATTTATTCTAATAAACCCCATACATCCTGCTTGAATGAGGAAGATCAGAAATGCATAAGCAAACTCCTTCTCACAGTATACCGGCCGGCCCTCAGTGGACTTAGCCCTGGTGGCTCGCAGGAATGCTACTTTCCAGAGCACTCCTTTTGGAACTCAGAGGGAAGTTCACTGGGTCTGAACAGCAGCAACCGAGCTTACTGAGGTGTGCCAGAGGGTCAAGCAGCTCCAGAGGGCAACAGATTAGGAAGAGTGAAGGGAACATGGCCCCTGTCTGCTTTTGGATGGTGGGAGGGGACTATCCCCCATTCTTTCCAATGTTCAAATTTTCTAAAATAAGCATGTGTTACTTTTATACTAAAAAAAATGTTTTTTTATAAAGATTTTATTTACCTGAGAGAGAGAGAGAGAAAAACAAGCAGGGGGGAGGGGCATGGGAAGAAGGAGACGCACACTCCCCACTGAGCAGGGAGCTGGACGCTGAGCTCGATCCCAGGACCCCAGACCATGACCCACACTGAAAGCAGATGCTTAACTGACAGAGTCACCCAGGCACCCCACTAAAAAATGGTTTTAAAACTTTGACTTTTAAGAAAAGCAAAAAATAAACTGGATAAGCCTAAAGAAGGAATAAAAGAGAGAGAGATACAGGGCACAGGTCATGGATTCAGTCCCCAAAGCCTGCTTATAACAAGCAGAGGGGCTAATCTCAGAGATATGTACCTGAAAAGGCAAAGCACCCCAGGGGTGGCCCGCATTCATTTGTTCAACAAGCATTTACTAAAGCCAGGCACTATATGTGGCCGTTAGATTTACAAAGAATGAGGTGGCCACCGTCTAATACAAAAGCTCACAACCTCGCCTACACATAAGAATCATTTGAAATTTATTTTATTTTATTTTATTTTATTTTATTTATTTTATTTTATTTTTTTATTTTATTTTATTTTATAGTAGGCTCCACGTCCAGCAACATGACCCTGAGATTAAGATCTGAGCTGAAAGCCAAAGTCGGACACTTAACCACCTGAGCTACTGAGGTGCCCCTGAAATGTGATTTTGAAAAAGCAATACACCAAAAAAAGCCCTGATGCTCAGGGCCACACTGCAGGAATGCTGATGTAACTGATCAGAGTTAATGCTTGGTCTCGGGACTTTGAATATACAGGGTTGAGGACATGACACATGAGCTTAGTGTTGAAGGAGGGGTAGGGGCAAAGGAGAAGAAGGAGGAAGGGCAGGCAGGCACAGGGAATGGAGCTGAATTGAGAGTACTGCCCTGTGGTTCAAATATAACTAGAAAGTTATAGTGGGTGGGGGTGACACAGATCATGGAGGTCCTCCCATGCCTAACTAACTATCTGTCTTCTAGGTAGTGGGGAGTGGATATAAGTTACTAGACAGGGGCAGACACGGTCACATCTGGGTTCATCTCAACTCTCCAGGCATTCTTTCCTGCTCAGATGGCCAGCACTTATGTCCATGGATGGGACCATAGAAAGGCAGTGAAGAGGCATAGGCTTTGCCTCCTCAGAAAATGGCACCATCACAGAGAGAGGGCTTCTTTCTGGATTCTCCATCATAGGCAGCCTTCTACACGCCACTCATCTAGGCATAGACTCTTTTTTCTACTTCCTTTTCAAAACCCCCTTTTTCCATAACCTAATTTCATTACATGATCTTGCTACAATACTGAGAATAAACCTGCTAAGGGGCCAGTGAAAATTTGGAGGTGATACCAACCGCCAATCATGCCACACAAGAAAGTAGCGGGACTGTCACCAAAGGCCTCAGATGAAAAACCATTCCACATGCTGCTTCAGGGACAAATCACTAAATAATTCAATTGACCTAATCACCATCCCTGAGCATCTGTTTTTGGAGACCAGGGAAGTTGCTGAGAAATTTCTAGAAATAAAAATGGTATTGGTTAATAGGTGGGATAATTGATAAGAGCCATCCCACCCTTCACACACAGGAAATAAGTGCCTTTCAAATGAATAAGAATAATAAATAACAGCAGCAAGCACTTCCTGAGGACCTAGACAAACAACACATGGTACAAGGACTTTACATAGACTGCCTACAACATCTGTGCAATGTCTCCCCTTGGGTGGAGGAGATAACTGAGGCTCAGAGCAGTTTAGTCGTCTGCCCAAGGTCACAAGTAAGTGCAATGATAGAATTCAAACTAAGTTTTTGTTTGTTTGTTTTTAAAGAGGGAGAGAGAATGGAGGGGGAGAAGGGGCAGAGAGAGAGAGGGAGACAGAATCCCAAGCAGGCTCCACATCCAGCAGGGAGCCCAACTCGGGACTCAATCTCATAACCCTGAGATCATGATCTGAGCTGAAACCAAGAGTCGGACACTTAACTGACTGAGCCACCCAGGCGCCCCTCAAAGTAAGTTTTTATAACTTCCATCTACCTGTTCTCTAATATTCTGGCCAGGGGTTGACTCTGTGCTCATCTGTGTGCCAGAAAGAATGGCTGCTTGACAAGCTCATCAAATGCCGTAAGAGGCATTTTTCCCACTGGGCTTCTGAAAAAAAGCACCAAAAACTGTCATGACTCTTTCCAAGGGAGAAATGCCAGCTTCCTCTTTGATCTGAGCAGCATGGAAACAACGCAGTCCCATCCAGTGAGCTGCTCTCTCAGGGAGAGAATAACCCTTTGGAGACACCATGCACGCAAACAGCGTGGCACATGAATACAAATAATAATAAGTACCCAGAGCTATGGACCTCTTCTAGCTTAGTGCTCCTCGCAGCATCTCAGGATGCTGGAAGTGGACGACACCTGAGAGGTCACCTGGCACAACCCCCACTCTTCAAAGGTGAGAAAACAGACTAGTTGACATATCTGTTAAGGACAAGGAAGCAGTGAGAACCCTGGTCTCAGGTTCTCAGACTGGTGTTTCCCATTCTCAGTCATCCTGCAATTTCAGGAGTCCCAGTAGGGAACTCCACAGTTCCTCTAACAGTCTCATCTCCTCATGAGAAACTGGGCATTTCCTGCAGGGGAACCGAAGAGAAAAAAGGTTGCCTTCTATACCCTACCCCTAACGTGAAGGGCTACCCGATTTATCAGTGCCTGGGCACTGAGGGCTGTCCAGTCTGTTGCTCCTGGAAGTAGATCTGGAAATGAACAAGGTCAAACACCCTGTGAATGCAAACAACTTAGGAGTGATCCAGGCGGTTTCTCAGAGGGAGGAATGCTAAGCCTGCCACTGCTTATGCTTATCTATAATTTAACAGAACCAAATAGCTTCTGTCACACTGTAGAGTGCCAATGGGGGTGTCATTAATGCACAATTACACACGAGTGGAGCAGATCACCATGAATCTGCCCTCTTAATAAATCACTTCATGCAAAGCTATGGTTTGGATGTCATTTTCAGTCTATAAAAGGATTCACCATAGTGAGCCTTTAAAAGCTAGTTTTGTTTATGCATTTAATCTATGATGCCATTAATGGAGACGCGACTGTCTCCCAACTGGTCAGAAATGCATCTGGTGAACAAAACAAGGTACTCTCCCCTGCCTCAGAATGACATCCTTGATCCAACCTATTTTGGGGGCCTGGCTGGCAAAAAATGAACAGGAAGTCATTGTTGCGGAGGTGGAATTTTACTTCAGGTGGAGTGGGCTGTGGTGAGGCCGCAGATCCCAGGAGGAGAGGCTGACCAGAAACAAGGCTGAGGATTATGTTACTGTGGATAAACATTTTCAAACAGCTGTCATTCCATGCTAGGAAGGCCAGATATTCAAGCTGGTGATAAAAGAACAGCAAGGACAGATCTGACAGCCCAGATTGTTAGCAGCTCAACTACACGGGGAAGAGAGGTGGGGAAAGAAAACGAGAAAGAAACCAAGCACGGAGCCACCAGAGTGAGACTGGGCGGCAGGAATATTTAGAGGGATCCTGACAATGCAAATCCTCCTCTCCGCACAAGGAAGTCTGCCCGTGACAAGAGTGTCGCAGTTCACCCACCACGAATCTGTACTTACAGGGGCAGGCAGGCACCACCAGAGGATGAGATGCCCTATTCCAGACAGCTACGGGCTGAACGAGGAATAGAACGCAGGGGGTTAGGAACGCAGCTGCCAGGTGGGACTGGAGCAGCGCGTGGGGCCCTCGACTCGGTCCGATTCGGGCTACGGACCGTCCCCAGACGCCCTTCCCGGGCGGCGGGCGCTCGGCTGGGCAGAGCCAGCCGCGGCGCATCCTTCCAGGCAGGACGGGTCCCGCGCTTCCAGAGGCCCAGGTCGGGGAGTTTGCTGCTCCTGGCTCCTCGGAGCCGCACGTCGGCCTGGGCACACGCGCACACGCGCACACTCACGCCACATCTGGCGCTTTCCCCGCCACCCCAAAGCACACGCGCCAGGAAAAGGCCGGCTCCCGCCGCGCAGGGACCGTAACGGGGGGCGGGGGGCGGGGGGCTCGCCCCCTCCCCCCTCCGGCTGATCGCGTCTCGGCGCCCCCAAACCCGGGTTCCCGGGCGGAAATCGGCGGAGGCGAGAGGGCTCGACTTACCTAACTCCTCCGGGCTGTAGGGCGCGGGAGAGGCTTCCACGAAATCACTGTCTGCAGGAAGAAAGGAAAGAAGCAGAAAACAAAACCAGAATCGCAGTGGTTCGGGGCAGGTCGATCAAGCATCTCTACCGCGCAAGCCCCCGGGAAAAGCGCGGGTTTCTCCTTCCCGGAGGTCGGAGTTCGTGAACCCGGGGGCCGGGCGGGCTTCGGGACCCCGGTCCAGGGCGGGTAAGAAACGGCCGCGGAAGCCGGCGCGGCGGCCTGGGACCGGGGTCCTCGCGTCCCCCGCCCCGGCAGGTGCGCGCCAACTTTCCGCGGGCGCGACCGCATCCTCCGCCCTCAGCCCGCGGACCGCATGGCGGCGCCCGCCCGGCCTCGCGCCGACGCCCCGGCGCCCACAACCCGCGAAGTTTGTCTGCGGGGCCGGAGCGGGGGCCGGAGCGGGGGCCGGAGCGGGGGCCGGAGCCGGGGCCGGAGCGGGCCGGAGCGGGCCGGAGCCGGGGCCGGCGGGCGCAGCAGGGGCGGCGCCGAGCTCCCCGCGCGCATCCCCGCCGCCCGTTGCTAGGCGACCGCGGCCCGCTCTCTCGCAGCGGCGCGCGCGGCCTCCCAGTCCCGGGGGGGTGGGGGGGGCCTCCCCTCCCCGGTCCCGCGTCCCCGCTCCCGCCCCCGCTGACCGTTTATTGAAAACCCGAGCGGAACCAGTTCCCAAAGGATTCCTGCGGTCTTGCGTTAACGTCTGCCCTGCCCCGTGCTCGGGGAGTCCTTGCTCCGGGCTCCTCCGAGGAAATGCAGGATTTTCAGAGCTCGGATCTGTCTTGCTCCCCGCGGAGAAGGAGCTTCTGGCGCCCCAGCCCCTTCCTGCATGTCGAACCTGAATTCTACCGCAGTCCAGGCGGTATTTCCTCCCCTCCAGAGACCACCTGGTTCACACAGTGGAGGTACCGTGTCTCCATTTCACAGGTAGGGCTACTGAGCCCCTGAAGTTAAATGGCGTAGGGACAGGACCGCAGGGCGCTGTGACTGTGTCGGTGTCTGCACGGTCTGAGGGAAGCAGAGCAGTGCTTCTACTACCACATGAGGAGTGGAGTGGTCCCAAATACAGGATGCAGAGCTACAAGTTATAGTCTGAGAGTCCACGTTGCAGGTCCTGAAGTAATTCCTGTTAGATTGGGGAAGTTCCTTCTCTGGGTCCCTGCCTCAATAACTTGGGCAGATGCACTTTGCATTTTCCCCCAGGGCTGGCTGACTGCTCTGCCTGGGATGGCTCTGGGATGTAGGGATGTGCTCCAGAGAGCGAGCAAGCGTGCTCTGATGCCAGGGAGAGTTAAGGGAAGAAGGAAGGAGTAAACTTGGGAAATGGTTGTCCCTTCTCCATGCTTGTCCTTGGAGACTGACCCTGGGAGTCAACAGTCCAGGCAACCTCCAGGGAGCAGTCTATAGTCTCAGAGCGACCAGATCACCAGCTGCAGCAGCCTGACAGCCTGGGATCTGTGCCAGTGCACTCCAGTTCTGTAAACACTTAACCATCTTTGGGTTTTCCACTGTCAGCTTCCGGTTTGCAAATTACCTGGGAGGACAGAAAGAAGCCACCATGGCCAGCCGTTGCTCCTGGAGGAATGCCAGGGAAGCAGGGCACGGCCTCAGCCCTGAGATGCCTAGCATAGCCTCTCTGTGCTCTTCTTTTTTCCCCCTCCTCACATTTAGAGCTCCCAAATCCAAGATGTGAATGTGCTTGGGTGACTGTTTGCAGGTGTCACTCCATCTCCTCTCACGTCTACAATCTTCCCATTTGCCCTCAGGAATTCATGGTTCATCACCAACTCAGTCCCCCATATCCTCAGCCTTTCCCCTGTTTCTTGGAATTTCTTACTCTGAAAAAGTAACCTGACTCTCCCTGGATATAACAGACCATGTTACCCACCCCCTCTACTTACTGCAGCCATCTCTAGACTCGGGTGATTCCACCTCATTCCTTGAAGATATGTAACAGTTGGATCACTGTCACTTTCCCCAGTTCCATTCTTGTGATATTTCTTTTTTTTTTTTTTTAAGGATTTTATTTATTTACTCATGAGAGACACAAAGAGAAAGAGAGAGGCAGAGACACAGACAGAGGAGAAGCAGGCTCCATGCAGGGAGCCTGATGTGGGACTCGATCCCAGAACTCCAGGATTACTCCCTGGGCCGAAGGCAGGCGCCAAACTGCTTAGCCACCCAGGGATCCCCATTCTTGTGATATTTCTTATTTCTGAATCTACACAGGGGATTCTTCTCATACTCTGGTCTCTCACCTCTTCAACACTATCTCCTTTCATTGACCTCTTCCAGCTATCCCAGCTCTCTGCTCTCCTAGTGACACCATCCATAATCTCAACAGGAAGCATTTTACTCTCCACCCACCACTTCCTACCTTTCCAGTCCACTCTGTTATCTTACTCCAATGTCCCTTTCACCCTAGCAGCACCTATGATTTGCTTATCCCATGACCTTTTCTCTGTCCCTTATTCTCCTCATGACCCCTCTTCCTCCTTTATCCACCTTAGTTTCTGGGTTCATTATTTCTTTTCTCTTTTACCATCCCCTCTCTCCACACTACTTACATCTTCAGATTCATCTCCCCCCACCTCTTCTCTCCATACTAATTACCTGGAAAAACCACAACCCTGATAAAATCTGATTCTCCACTTTCTATCTGTCAGCACCTGGCTAAACATGATTGGAGAAGCATAGCATCATGCTTTATTTTCAGTTCATGATCGCTGACCTCAAGTGGACCCATGTACAGCTCAGCAGTCCCTCTCCATTTGCCTACACTACTTCTCCTTCTCCTCTCCTGTTACTATGCGTGAACCATCTCTATCTAAGGCCACTTCCTCCATTGTGGAGATCCTGTCCCCTCTCATGTGGCTTTCCCCCTTCCTACCTAAATTACTGTTTTGCTCTGTCCTAGGTCATTCCCATCAGTATACAGACATCCTATTATGTTCACTCTTCCTTGATAAATGTCGCCTCCCTCCCCAACTACAGCTCCCAATTCTCAGCTACTCTCTATAACAAAAATCATCAAAAGAATCATCTACACTCACTGTGTCCCCCCCCCCTTTATTTATGCTCTTAAAGGCAAACAAGCTTTTAGTTCACTGCTCTTCCAAAGTAGCTCTTGCCATGGTCAAGACTGCCTTTGCCATTGTGAATCCCAATGGTCAGTTATTCGTCCCAATAGCAACTTTTGATCCACTGATCCTATATGTGAATGGACTATATGTGAATGGACTAATCTGCAAGATTAGTCTCCTCCGTTTCCCCACCTTACTGAGAAGCAATTAGTCTTTGCAGTCTAAGAGAGATGATCTACGGAGGGCTTTGTTTGGGGTCAACTAGACCTTGTTTCTGACATCAGCTCTGCTACTAATTAGTAATTTAATTTCTGCAAGCTTTAGTTCCTCTAAAAATGGAAATAATAATCACACCTAATGCCTAAGGTTATGTGGTCAGAGTGCAATAAACTAGTGCGCTTAGAGCCCCCAGGAAAGACACTGTCACATTGTGAAAATTAGGTAATATATTAGTTATCATTGGATGGCAAGCTCCTTTACAGCTGAGGAAATGGCTCTTTTCTTTCCTTTAACAACTTTGAGTTGCTGAAAGGAGTCCCTAACCACAGAGTATGCTTCAAATTAAGGGCAAGGCCACATTGCCCTTACTTTTAGTTGTGTTTTAAGAGTTGGCTTGAAGGTGGGTTAGATGGAACCGGGAGAAGGCTTCCCCAGGGGAAAAGCAAAAGAAATGTTCTACTTGGCAGTTAGGTTCTGGAGCCTGCCAAACTGTTCTACCTCACAATGGTATCTATCCCCTTCGATTTGTTCCTATAAATTGATGTCTTATAAGCCAAGAAATTTCCTTACATCCGAATTTCCTAATCACCTGAAGATTAGTGAGAAAATATTTTTCTTGTTTTGATATTTGCCATTGGAAAAAAATAAATATATATGATTCCAATTTCCTATCTTAGGAAGTAGAGCAGAGCAAACAATATTTCCTCTTATTCAAACATATATGGATTTTACCATGCTTCCAGGACTGGGCTAAGCACTGCAGATGCAAAGGTGACCAGAGCAGATTCCTGCCCTCCCGTCACTTCCCATCTAATAAGAGATTTAAAAAGATGACAGAGGATCCTTCTGAACCTCAGGTAGTGTCCTAAGTACCTATGTATGCTTCACTTTCATAGTTCTCTTATAAAGAAATGGTTCTGCTGGAGGGTCACTGATCTGTAAAGGACAGTGCACAAGCTTATAGTTGGAGGCTCAGCTCTGTCGATTTTCAGAAGGCATTCTCAGAGATGTTAGTAAACATCTCAGAACTTTGGAGTCCTAACTTATTTCACTGGATTGTCAGAAGCCTGACAGTAAAATCTGAGACAGAGCACACACTGTGCCTGACACAGTGGTGGATGCTTAGTGAATGTGCCTTTCTCTCCAACATAGAGGGCCTGACCATGCTGGAGTCCCCTCTTTTGACTGTCCTAGAAGAGAGCAATCTTCCTGCACCATGGCATCTGCCGACAAGAAGGAGGAGTTCTTCCTCCTATTTCTGGGGCAACATTTATTAGAGAGTGGGACACGTGGGGAGAAAGTGGCAAGGAGGAAATATTTCTGGGGCTCAAGGTGAACTATTTCTGGGACTCGGGTTTTCTATTGAAACAGATTACACAAGGGGCTAAGATCTAATGTCCACTCTTACTATTGCTTGCTACATCATGAGTTGAATACGTGTGAGGAGCTAGCCTGGGAAACCATCCCCTAGCTTTAATATTCTTTTGTATGTACGTTCATATATATAAATCAATTGTTATTATATAGACAAATAATATATGTTCAAGGTAAAGGAAAAATTTAGTACAGGTGAGTATAAACTAAAAAAATGAATTCCTCTTTCCTATCCCAGTCTCCATCCCCAGACTGAAATACCATCCACAGCTTCCTGTGTGTCCTGGGAGAGAATTTTTTAGGCATATTCAAATGCATATAGGAATTGTTTAAACAAGTTAC